ACTTGTTGTTTTTGTTTGTTTCTTTTTTTTCCCTGGTGGTTTTTGAATGTAACTTGTTGTTTTTGTTTGTTTCTTTTTTTTCCCTGGTGGTTTTTGAATGGAACTTGTTGTTTTTGTTTGTTTCTTTTTTTTCCCTGGTGGTTTTTGAATGGAATTGTTGTTTTTGTTTGTTTCTTTTTTTTCCATGGTGGTTTTTGAATGGAACATGGTGGTTTTTGAAGGACTTGTTGTTTTTGTTTGTTTCTTTTTTTTCCTGGTGGTTTTTGAATGGAACGTTTTTGTGTGTTTTTTGTTCCATGGTGGTTTGAAAGGAACTTGTTGTTGTTTGTTTCTTTTTTTTTCCATGGTGGTTTTTGAAAGGAACTTGTTGTTTTTGTTTGTTTCTTTTTTTCCCTGGTGGTTTTTGAATGGAACTTGTTGTTTTTGTTTGTTTCTTTTTTTTTCCATGGTGGTTTTTGAAAGGAACTTGTTGTTTTTGTTTGTTTCTTTTTTTTTCCCTGGTGGTTTTTGAATGGAACTTGTTGTTTTTGTTTGTTTCTTTTTTTTCCATGGTGGTTTTTGAAAGGAACTTGTTGTTTTTGTTTGTTTCTTTTTTTTTCCATGGTTGTTTTTGAAAGGAACTCATCACTGGACATATTTCGATTTTTTCCTGGGGCCGAACAATTGCATGGAGGTTAAAGGGCACCACCTGCATGGTTTCCAGCTGGGGGTGCGCCGGCTCAGCCTCGCCGGCGGTTCGGCGGCGTCCAGACGCCAGGTGTTGCATCAAGGGCGTGCGCATTGCGGCGCGCCATGGCCTCCAGAAGAACTTGTCCGACTTCTTCTGGCGCGTTGACTCGGGCGCCTACGTCAGGCCGGGGACATGTCACGTGTTGACGTGGAATAAAAGTGCCGCGAACAGGGGCGGGGAAGGGGGGGGGAGGGGGGGGGGGCTGTTGCGGTTTTGGACTTTCGGCTCCCGATGGTTTTGTTGGTTGGCCTTGTTGGTTGTTCCTTGGTTGTTCGTCGGTTTTGGGGGCTTTCTGGGGTGGTTCCGTTGGTTTCGTTACTTTGTTTATCGGCCGCGTTGGTTGTGGTGGTTGTTGTTGTTGTTGTTGTTGCTGTTGCTGTTGCGCTGTTGCTGTTGCTGCTGCTGCTGCTGCTGTTGCTGCTGCTGCTGCTGCTGCTGCTGCTGTTTTTTGGATCCAGAGGTGTTTTACCCGTTTCTTCGATTCCGATGGTTTTAGAGTTGCTGCCGGTGATTTCCTCGGTGATCCGATTGGAAAACCCTTGGGGCCCAAGCTTGGTCGATTTTGGGCTCAGGTGGTCCGCCAGACGGGGGACACTTGTGGAGACGGGTTGGTAGGGAAGGTTGAGCAGAATACCACTTCCTGAGTTGGTGGACTTTAAGCTTTTTGGGGTTGGACCATTTTAGTGGTAAATAAAAAGTTCAGACTTTTTTGGCCAGTCAACTTGGGAAGTGAGGAATGCTTGGAATCACCCCGTAGCCTGGGCAAACTAGAATGCGCTTACCGACTGATTTTGCGAGCACACCCATTAAAGTCCGGCTTCCTTGCCGGTTTTGAATAACCCAAGATTTGGCCAAATTCCCGTGGGCCATGAAATTACGGTTCAACAAGAGCGACAAAGCAGCACCGTGCTTGCTTCCACACATTGCCCTGGTGTAATTACTATATATGTGCAACAAATGCTGTTGAACGGAGGTTCGGTTGAACGGAGGTTTTCTCTGGCGACTTTGCTTTTGGGACGCCCCCTGTCTGCAAGTTGGAGCTTTGTGCTTGGCAAGACGGATCTATGTGACGTCCTCCCTTACTTTTTTCTTGTTGAATGGGATAATGACGAGAACCATGAAAGACGGAAGTTTAAAAGGTAAGCCAAGTCAGTCTGCCAATGTTTGTTTTGTTCCCGGGAGTCTTCCCTTTGAAAGTCATAGCTTGAGAGTTTTGGATTTGGGGGACTAACCCCAGGGTTCAACCCCCATTAAAAGACAGGTAAGGACCCAATTTGGATGACAAACCTTAGGTAAACAATGGTGAAACCCCCATGGTTTTATTGGTGGTTTGAACCACGCGGTTGTTTGTTGGCAAAAGGCTAGACAGAACTTGATTGCTATTGGCTTGGATCTGTAGACTTTAACTGTTTGGTTGAAATCAACGGGGTTTGCCGTATTTCACGCACGCAAAGCAAATTAACAAGGCAGGTGTGTTGTGCCTCGGTGCCTGGATTTGAAAAGTTGTCGTTTTTCTTCGAACATGTTCGAACCCAAAGGCACGACCAGCTCCGACCCCCAAAAAAAATCCGTATCCCAAAAGAAACCTTAACACCACCCTAAACCAAGCCCAAACCAAAAACCAACCTCAACAAACTGTACGCAAGCCCCATACCAATCGTAACCAAACCGAACCCCCCCCCAACCGCCAAACTGTGCCGAAACCATTCCCAAATCACCCTAGGACCCTCAGCCTACAGTACAAACGGCATTTTGTTGGAAGATGTCGTAAAGCACAGCATCTTGGCACCACGAGTGTAAACAAATTGGAAGGTAACATTGACTTACCTCTTAACAACACAACTTTTCAACTTTTTGGGGGTAACATGGGCTATATGTCTGTAAAAGGTTAACTTCCCCAGGGCTTGGACTTTTTAAGAGGTAAGTTGACGGTGTCAGTGACACACATGGTCTTGCCTTGAGTTTTCGGACCCCTCGCTTCGAACGGAGCGCGGGCCCAGGAGCTTTGCGCGACACTTTGGGTGGATCTCGGCCCCCAACCCTGCTTGATTGATTCAATCTATTTTCAGAAATTTCCCTCTGGCCTTTTCTCACTTCCCGAGTTCCTGGACTTTGAAACTTGTTGGGAAGACCGTTTCAGTGTTAAGAAGTTCAGGTTTTTTCGGGCCAATCCACTCAAAAAGTTGGTTTTGCCCCTTGCCCCAGGTAATGGAAACCTCCTATAAATGAACCCCTGTTTGTTAATAGGGGGTGTCCTTGGGTTTAGTGCGGAATCAGACCACTCTTGGAGGGGCACCCCCCACCGCCTATCAATAAACTCACTTGTGCAAAGCTGACCTTTTGACCTTTGGGTTAAGTTTGGTCCATATTTAGTCTTGGCCCCAACAGGCTAACCTTTTATTTCTGGTCCCTAAGGGGCAACTGAGTAAAGAAGGGTTGAGAAATACTGTGGATGGACGAAATTCTGGATTATTTTGATATCATGGGAAACCATTGTTTGTTGGCATTTGCCAGGGAATCATCATTGCCGGCTTCAGGATTCTGTCCATCCACAGTAGGGGGTCAACATCAGAGGAGCCTTGTGGGGCGCCTCACAAATTGCCGCAGTCGCTCGCCACTCGTCTTCGCTTGCGGCGCGCCCATCTCCCTCGACCAGGCGCGCCACAAATTTCTGGCGGATTTTGGTCCCACCGCAGGGGTTTGGGTGGGGAATGCACGGTGTTGGTTTTTGGGCCATGTCAAGTGGACCTTGAAAGCTGAAAAATAAGCTGTGAACGGATAGGTTATTGTTTGAGTATGCTTTTTGAGGGTGCCCTTGTTGGGATGCGAAAGGAAAAACAGAGGGAAGCCACACATGCTGTGACCCCCAGGCTTTGCCACCTGACTCATCACATGTCAGAGAGGACCTTTTTTTTTTCAGGGCCCAAAGCTTTGGGGCGAAATGGCGAGAAAAGAAACCAGACTTTCCAGAGAAAAAGAAAGTTGACTGGGGGGGTTCGGGATGTTTTGGGATGTTTTGGGGGTCTTGTCTCGGCAACTTGTTTTTTTTTGGGGGGCCTTTCCTGCAGAGACAGGTTGCCGGCCATTTTCTCCCTCCAGGCGCGTCAATGGCTTCAAAGTGAAGCGAAGGACTTCCAGGTGGTGGCGTGGGCGCACTCTGTGGCCAAGCCGGGCAAGATTCTATTCGACCTCTGAAGCCAGAGACGACCCGTTCGATTGGAAGCACGCTTACTCGATCCATGCGGCATAGATGTTTCGCACCCTTGACCGTGGTTTAGCCGCCAAAGCTTAGCTTTGTTTTCTTTGTATTTCTGTTGGTGTTCACGATCGACACGTCCAACAAGTTTCGATGCAGAACCCCCCCCCCACAGGGCAACATCATGTAGCCTCCCCAGGAGACTGGGACTCTGCGGGCGCACCAGTCAGCTAAGAGCCGGTTATGTCAGAAGGGCAGTGTGTTGAAGCAACAAGCCGGAGAAATCCCATCGCAAGGAACAAGTCTGCCTGTATCCTTTTGAAATGCAATTGGGGAGGGTGCTCTTTGGAAGTCCCCTTCGTGGCAACTCAACAAATTGAATTGGGAGGACGGCAACCGCCAACCCAGCTGAAGGTAGCTGGGTTCTCTACATTTGTCCCCAAGATCCCAGACCAAAGTTGCAATCTCTTGCTTGCTCTTTGATTGGACGTCTGACCTTAAACTTGTTGTTTGTTTGTTTTATATCTCGAGTTTCTGGACTTTATACTTTTTGGGAAGACCGCTGTGACCGTTGGAGGTAAACAACAAGTCTCAGCCTTTTCTGGCCCCCACTGAGGTTTTTAACAAGAAAGACCGTGTCCCCGAAGACGCAATGTCTTTAGCTGTTGCAGGGGCGTCCTTTGACCAACCCAGATCAACGGTTTTCTGGTCAAGGCATGACATTTGGACGGCCACTGCCCTTCTGTCCTTTTGCTCTTAGGGTCATCGCGCAACCTCGACTTAGCAAATGTTGAAGGATGTTAGGGGCGAAGCCCCCAGCTTTCTCAGGTTCCTTGAGAGGTTCCTGTTTTCTAGAATTGCGAGTCTCGAAATGCTAGAGATTGGCTCTTTGAGGCTTTGGAGGGCAACCGGCAAATCAAGCATCTGTCCGAACCTGGCACGTCTGAAGCCCCATTTACAACTCTCGCTGATTCCCAAGGATGCCATAAAAAAGCAAGCACCCATGTCAAATCTCGATCATCCTTGTAAATGACTTGCGAAGGGAATCAAGAAAGTGCCTGAATTGGAGACGTTCGCACGAGGTACGAATTATGCTGCGAATTGGCTTCGCATCCAGGAAATGCCACACCTGGACTCAAAACGTCCTAGGGCACAGCATTTACAATCTGCGGCAACCCCAGACCTGTGGTTGCGGGGGCTCTGATTCCTACAAAAAGACAGACCCAATCCCACAGAAGGGGTGACCTTTGACCAAGTTGTCAGTATCCTTTTGCTGTGTTTCAAGGGAATAAAGGGCAGACCTGCAACTCTCTGGAGTTGCGCTGCGATTTGTTTTCTCCAAACGAGTCAGGCGGATTATAGAGCGGGTCTGCCTGGTGGCTTGTGGTTAGCCATGAGCATCTTGTTATGATCCACCGGCAGGTATCAGCTTTTGATGGTCTATTGGCTTCTAACTTCTTGTGGCAGCCGCCAGGATTGCATGACCCTACTCCATTCTCTTGACTCATGTAATTACAGGGAGCCCTGCCTTTCTCTCCCTGGACCTGTTTCCTTTACACAGGGAACCTGCCCTCAGAACCGGCAACTCTCTGGAGTTGCGCCTATTTTGTCCAACCTCGCGTCAGGCTGCATACAGAGCAGTTTGACTTGCGACACTTGGGCCTGGCGTGGTTAGACAGAGGGTGAATGCTTGGGTTTAGCCATAAGCATATGCAATGCAGAACTTGTTTCCCTTTACTACAGTTTGTCGTATATAAGAGTCCCTTGGAGTTTTGGAAACCGGGCCTCGGCCCAACTTGGACACAAACCCAAAAGGAGCTACACGTTCAGCCTCTGGACTAGACGCCTGCAAGCTCTAGTGCCTCGCATGCGATTTCAATACTTGAGCAAGGGACAGCAGCTGTCCGGAGCTTCTAGGCGTCCCTATCTGTCTGTTTTGGGTGGTTCCACATCACTAAACTTGTTACAGGAGTGCTTCAATCGTTTTGCTCATCCAATTCCAGGATTTCACCATATTTCACCGAACCTCGAAGCAAAAGGGTTCTTAATTGTTGTTTTTCCTGGGTCAACTTTCTATGGTTTGAAAGCACGCAGGATGTTGGTGGATTTTTGGGGATCTATGCTTCCCACCCTCGGCTGCTTGTGACAGAACGGCTTACGCTCTCAATCCGCCTGATGGCTTCTAACTTCTTTTGGCAGCCGCCAGGATTGCATGACCCTACTCCATTCTCTTGACTCATGTAATTTCAGGGAGCCCTGCCTTTCTCTCCCTGGACCTGTTTCCTTTACGCAGGGAACCTGCCCTCAGACCTGCAACTTTCTGGAGTTGCGCCGCATATTTGTCCAACCTCCCGTCAGGCTGCATACAGAGCAGTTTGACTTGCGACACTTGGGCCTGGCGTGGTTAGACAGAGGGTGAATGCTTGGGTTTAGCCATAAGCATATGCAATGCAGAGCTTGTTTCCCTTTACTACAGTTTGTCGTATATAAGAGTCCCTTGGAGTTTTGGAAACCGGGCCTCGGCCCAACTTGGACACACTTTCAAAAGAGCTACACGTTCAGCCTCTGGACTAGACGCTCGCAAGCTCTAGTGCCTCGCATGTGATTCAATACATGAGCACGAGAGCAGCCGTCCAGTTTTTCGAGGTGGAGGAATTCCATTTCGCTTTTCGGGTGGCCTAAACAGCACTTGACGACTCTGGGCATGTTGTTTAATGTGTTTGCTTTTCCGATCCGTTTCATTTTCAGTGGGGCTGCGACAACATACTGCTTGCAAGTTCAGCATCCTATTCCTGGTTTTGACCTGACCTGTAAGGTAAAAAGGGTCTTGTTGTTTTTGCTGGGATCATCTTTTTGCGGTTTAAGTCACACAGGATGTTGCGGGATGCTTCGGGAAATAGGGTTCCTACCCTCAGTTGCTGCTTTTGACAACGTCTCACGCTTTCAATGCGCGTGAGGGGTATCCAGTTTTGATGGTACATCGGCAACGAACTTCTTGTGGCAGCCGCCAGAATTACATGACCTTACTCCATTCCCTTGCCTCATGTACGGGGAGCCTTGCCGCTCTCTTCCTGGACCTGCGGCTTTTTTGCCGTGATGTTTCAAGGGGATACAGGGAACCTGCCCTGAGACCGGCAACTCTTTGGAGTTGCGCCGCACATTTCTCCCAAGCTCGCGCCGAGCTCCCAGAGCACTTGGGCTTACGACACTTGTGCCTGCCTTGGCCAGTCAGAGGTTGAAGGTTGTTGGCGATGCATAGGTGGATATACCCTGAGGTTCAAACCACCATTGGAGCAATGGGGGTTCCTATAACCACCATTGTTTACCTAAGGATTGTCATCATCCAATTTGGGTCAACCATTCTTTCCATGGGGGTTGGCCCTAGTGTGTATATATATATATACACATATTTGTATGTACGTGTATAATATATATATATATATATGTATAAATATGTATGTATATATATAGGTATGTTCCCGGTGGCCATGTTCGCTCCCCCTTGTGTCCCCCACCCCTCAGCCCCCCGGCCAGGGTCCTCGGGCTCGGCGAAGTCCAGAGCCAACCAAAAACCCACTCTAAACCTGGCAGAAAAAAATGGCTTTTGGGGGGGGTCCGGGTGGGTTTGAGAAAAAAATGGTAAGTGTCTGTGGTGTTTAGAGGACCCGGTTTTCCTTTTGGTTCCCTTTGGAAACCCACAAAAACTAGGTCCTCCAGTAGTGCCCTTTTACCGTTTCTTTTCTGGGAAGGGTTCCCCTGCTAAGCTACTTAGGTCACCTTCTCTTTGAGGGCATCAACCCAAGTTCCTGAGTTCCTCCCCCAAAATGGATTTCGCTGATTCGATGTTCCATTCGGATTCTTTTTTTAAACTAATCAAAACAAATTGACCAACCCAGAACCAACCCAACCCGTAACCCCGCAGGGGGTTGCGGATTTACCATGATGGGTTCAGGGGAGGCGGGGCATCTAGGGACACGAACCTAAAAGAAGCTGTACGTTCAGCCTCTGGACTAGGCGCTTGCAAGCTCTATTTCTTCGTTTGTGATTTCAAGATACGCGCATGAGAAAGCAGCCGTCCGGAGCTTTTCGAGCTATCGCCGTCCCTATTCCTATTTTGGGGCTTTGTCGGTACCTGTAAACAGAGGTCTTGGTGTTTTCCATGTTCAGGGCCAGCTGTCTATTGTTTGAAAGCACGCTGGATTTTGGCAGGGTGATGCTTGTTGGAACAATTGTGTTCCTGGAGCCCCGAAGTTGCAGCTTTTGACAGAACTTCTCCGGCTCGCAATCCTTCTGGGGGCATCAGCTGGATGGTCCATTGGTTTCTTGCGTCAGCCGCGAGGATTGCCTGACCTTACTCCATTTTGCAACCCGCTAGCTCACCTATACCCTTTGATTTGACCTTTCTGTCCGCCACCAGGTTCCGTTTATTATTGGACAACTGCTTTCTGGAACTGCCATGTCGGACCAGAGAGTAGTACACACGGAGCCTTCGACCGGTTTTTGCGCCCCCATGTCTGAAGTCAGCCCTCGCGTTTCCTTTCGGCAGGAAGTAGGTGTTTTTCCCCCTTTGGGAAACTCACTCCCTGAGTTCCGTTTCGGTGCCCAAAGCCGACCTTTTGACCTTTTGCATTTGTGTCCAGTTTTAGGCTTGGCCCCAGAAGGCTAGCTTCGCTTGGACGGGCGAAAGCCATGTAGGTGTTAAAACCACAAGGAACCACTTTTTCTGCCCACCCACAAAAAAGGGGTACAAAGGCAGAAAAGGAATCGGCCCTTAGGTCCATGCAGGGCCATGCATGCCCGATACTGATTCAGAGATTTGCGGAATGGGCAGAGTTGTGTTTTTCAGCTTTGGGTTTGGTGAATTTTGTTCCACGAAAAGAGTCATGACCCTAAAAAGTTCACATGTAATGGGCAAGTAATCAGCTTCCCCCTCATCACGGTGGTTTGGAGGTCGGGGGGGTGGTTTCCCGTTCACCCTCTGCAACAACCAGGGGTTCAAATCCAAATCCAAGCCAGAAATCCATAGCACCAATTAGAGGTCACCTGAATATAATTGGAATGGGCTGGGGCAACTAAATTAAAAA